GACCTGTCGATCGAATGAACGATGGTCGAACTGCTTGCAAATTCACAATATATAATGTATACATATTTTTGTTGATAACGTAAGAAGTGACTCATTCCCTGAAGAGTTGGAACGATGGCATTGTTTGGAAGAATTTGGACCGCCCGACCAGGCCTCGGTCCATCAGATGCAGAGCCTCGCATTGGGATTGCCCTGGCTGCCAGATGTTCCAGTCTTCAGTGGCTTAGACTTACGAGTCCAAGAGATGAGTATGCTGAATAATAGGACACCAGACACGTTTTAAGCGTTTTTGGTTGGTTTTTTGGATTTCACCACTTCACAACCCAAGGCATATGCAAACTGCAAAAGCTGCCAACCTCAAGCCTGGCAGTCAATAGGTAGGTCCAACTTCTATCAGCAACATAGACATGAGTCACATGAGATGGATGTGAGAATGCAACGACTCCTAACCAGGACCCGTTGGTAAAAGGATCTAAAGGGCAAAATAGACTCCCTCTTCTGATACGCATCCAGATGATTCTTGGTCAACTTACAAAAGGACTTCAGCGCCATGAACCGCGTGCCAACATACATGCAAAGTATCACCTGAGCCAAAATGCTTCACGCTCCGAATCTTCAGAAACTTCTACTTTCGCTACAGTTGGTGCCCTGCACTGCCTGAAGAGTCGGGAAAAAATCGCTCAAAATCCGAAGCGCTCTGTTCGTCGCTGAACTTGCGAAGCAATCGAACCGGTGCCCGAATCAGTTGGTTCTCTTAACTTTTGGGGTGCCAAAGAATGGCCTAGCAGCTAGTAGCACTTCCTCAAAGCTGCAGGAAAGACTACAGCAGATGTGTTTCTATTTGCTGTTTTTCGACTACTGGATTGTGAACTGGTCACTTCAGCATGGTTATCGGAATGAAGACTTATTAGTATGAGCTAATTGTAATAGATATATATATATAGTTAAATATATGTCTTTTCAGGCTCGCTACAAGCTCTTAACACTTTCAGGTGGTGATCAGCTTGTCAACCTGAGTGGTGAACCGACCCTTGAAACATGCCATCTTTCTGTGTGTGGAGGTAGAGGTAGAGGTAGGCTGGGTATGGGTGAGTATGGCTGCTCACTCGGCAGTTTTGAGGGGCTCCCTTGAAAAGAATAGGGCTTGCAGAGTGAGAAAACATGGTGTTGAGGGTGAAAATCAGCTTGCACATGTTTGAGCAAACAGAAAGAACGTTGACAACAAAACACTGGCTGCGACCCTTTGCTTCACCGTGTTAGCTCCTTTGCCTTGCTGTGCAGGTGGTATAGAAGCAAGCTTCACACATGAAGAGATCAAAGACTTAGTCTTCCATTCCAATGCTATTGAACTGCTCTCCGACCTGACGGTCCTTGAGAGGGTGAGCCACAACAGCACGGTGCTCGTGCCCAACAGCTCGCACGGTGTCCGAGCCGTGCCGCTCTTGGAGTGGTACAAGGAGCCGGTCATGAAGCTCGGAGCGTTCGGTCTGTCGGCATCGCGTCGGCCTCGTTTCGGCCTGACAGGACCCACTACTGAGTCTGAAAGTAGCCGATAGTCGCAGCCGATAGTCCAGACAGATTGATGCGGTTCGGAATCATCCTCACATCTTTTTGCAGTCAGTGGAACCACCCCGATGGCCTGCGAGATGAGCCTTTCCCACTACATGGGGTGTATTTTGGTGGGGAGACCCCCAACCAAGTGATTTTGACATAGTTTCCTTCTTCTTCCAGGTGGTTGAAATGGGGGGAGACCCCTATTTCAATAAACAGGCATCAATACGACTGGTAGGTTTGTGTTTTGACGTGTTTTCCTTGGGGTACTTTTCCGAGTGACCTGCCCGCGACAACCACGCCGCTCAAAAAATGCGCAGAAGCGGTGATGTTCCTCGGTGGATAATTACCCTCATCCGGTCTCACCCGTCAAAAAGACCGAACAATTTAACTATATAAATGATATTATCTATTTAACTAACCGTAATTAAGTAAACAGTTTTAATACATAATGATATAAGTTCAATTTAGCTGAAATAAATGTGTGTCAGCTTCAGGAAACTTCAGAGGCTTTTCACCTCGGAGCCCGCCCAGCAGCTTGGCCTGGCACCCCTAGCAGAAGCCTTGAAGCCCGGGCACCGCGTGGCAGAGTTGTGTCAGGCGATTTGCGGCAATTGGTCCGGGCGCGAACAAGCAACGACTTCGAGAAAGGACAAGAAGGCCTGTGGTTTTGGGGAGATGAAGCTCTGACCTGTTTGAGGCGACTTGTTGTCTCTAAGTGTGAGCAGTCCGATGGCCCAGCCAAATCGAAGACTTGCCGGGTAGAGAGAGGTCGGAAGGTGATTTGTTTGTTGGAAGGTGATGTCTATTGGCCACTGTCTCCGGATGGTTCCAAAAGTCTTTTGTTCCAACCGTCTCCATCGTCCAGCTGCCGGTCTAAAACACGTTTCTCGATGCAGTCGGTCAAGGACTTGAACATTCGAGTGCCACCACTTGGACCTTTGGGGAGGATCGTTGGGTCAAGATGATTCTGCAACGTTGGAGTGTTATAGACATCCAATAGACATCCATGATCATAAATATGGGTCAGGGGATCCTGCAATGCGTGTTTGGCCAAGTCACAAAGGACATTTTTATAGATCGAAGCTTAATTCGCTCATTTGCAGACAAAAGTGTCCCCAACTTCGCTCGAATAGACCCACCTCCCGTGGCCAGGTCTTCATCTCCTTGTGCCCGGTCGGTGTTGACCAACGAGATGTGTGGAAAGAGCCCTTAGCCTTGGTCGTGGGTCTTGCCCGTCCGTTGCCAATAAAGAGCCTCGTGGGATTGGAGGCCATTCGCCCAACACTGCAGTCCTTCTGGGAAACGGCCACAGAACGTCTGGGAAACGGCCACTGGCGTGATCAAGCCCTTCGACCCGACGTCTCATGTACGGAGCCCATTTTGGCGGTGTGGCCACTGCGGCTCGCCGGGGGAGCGAGCATGATGCAAGATCCTCATTTGATACCATACTCAGACGGAACAGCAATAGTAATCATGGACATCACCGTCCTGAAGTGTAGGGGCGGCTGGACTCAATCGTCCCAGTCACTGGGAGGGCCAGCACTCACAGAAGCAGCTTGCGTACGAAGCATTGCTGCAGCCCATGTGGCTTGGCAAGAGTGGGCATACTTGCTGGTCTTTGTGGGCAAGAAGCACCTAGGTCTGAACGTAGTACGTTTGAAGTGGATTTTGAAGGCCGGTGTTTGAGGATGTTTCATCGGTAGAAGGTCTGCCCCTATCTTCAATTAAGTTCCATCGGCCGCAATTCAACAGTCAGATTTTTGTTGGGTGCCAACCTCCAAACAGAACCCGCCAGTCAGGCCCTGAACCTGGAAAAGATGGTAGGTTGGAGGCCATTGCTATTAGGCCAGCGGCCAGCGGCTGGGTTCGCCTCAGGTGTGGGACTTCGGTGAGTCCCACGCCGAAACCGAGCCGAGGCAGACGGTGGTGCAGGGGACGAAGGAGGATGGCAGACAGTGGTCGCACCACCAGTCACTGCACGCGGCAAACAAAGCATTGGTGGCTTCAAAACGATGGATCATGTTTAGACCGTTAACCTAGAATTGCCCAGAGTGGTTGGTTCCAATATGTTCCAATGATAAATAGCCATAGGTGTCACTTCCAGAAGTAGGGAAGACTGGAGTCGCTGACAGGATGCCGAAGATGCCCTTTCTTTAATACATGGACGTCGATGTTCTCCTCTTGCTCATCCTTCCTATGCTTTGTCTTGTTCTCCTTCTTCTTCATCTTTTTAATCTTCTTCTGCTTCTACTTCCTGTTTTTGTTTATTTTGCCAGCAGAATACTGTGGAGATATCCAATTGATTCCAATTGTGCATCCAGTTGCCAATCCTTCGTATCTAGTAGCATGGGATGAGCCGACAACTTGCAATGCCGATGGTGCTACAAAGACTGGATAGCACATGATAGCACCAACAGCATACTCTCCCAGCTGTTCAATCAAACTAATCATGTAAAGCTTGTGCTCCAGGCTTCTCTCATGTTCTCTCATCATCAGCTCTTTTCTCGCTCTGAATTTATTTAGGAAGTAGGAATCCAGATTTAAAGCTTAACAATCAAGATTCAGGATTTAAGACTCAGGCTGTGTGGGAGTCTGGATTGAAATCACAAATTAGGGGTTAGGAACTGGACATGGGACCCTGGAACCAAGGCCCATGCTTGCCCGCATGTATGTTATCATTTCTTGAAACTTACTTTGAAATGAACGAACATGCATGAACTATTTAACAACTGTCTCACCAGGATTTCTTGGCTTTGGTCTCGCCAGCCTGGCGTTCCTTCGACTTCGATCTCCCCAGCGGGAAACGCCAGCACGCTCAAGCAGCCTTCGGCGCTTGGTGGTCAGTGCTGCGGATGCTGTGGGCGGAGGCTGGAGCTCTCTTGGGATGCAGTCAGAAGAGTGGCGGCGTGGCACGGAATTTCATGTGACTGGCGAAACGACAAACACATCACATGGCGTGGTAATGTTTGGTATGGTTTGGTGGAACACCCCTTGGAAAAGAGAGAAAGATAGTTTATCTCCGAGTGTAGCCCCCCAAAAACCTTCTTGTCAGGACTGAGGCCGCCGTGGCCCAATGCAAACCAACTTGCGGCATGTTGGTCTAGTGAGGTCCGATGAGAGGAGATTGGAGCAGATGGACAATAAAAAACAACTCACAGAAGATTTCTGAAACACCTGGGAGTTCTACTACATCAAGAACTTTATAGAATCAAGAAGGTCTGTAGGGCCTAGGCATCATCCACTTCTGACCAAAGGGTTTGGTTCATTTGACTGGAGGTGCCACTCACGTGGTGCGCCGTCCCTCCTCTGCCCAGTTCCCTCAGCTTCAATCATCTCGCAGCCTCGTGGAAGTTCCAAACGCCCAGGGCCCAAACCAAAGAGCTTAAGGGGAAAACTCTATAGGAATCTCAGAATTTGTTTTTTAGGAAGCCCCAAGCACGTACAGGAAACCCATGGTTTGGGGTATGAAAACAACGGTTTCCTTAGATTTTCCCTTAAAGCCATTGAGTGAAGCGAAGATCGCAAGGTACTGAGCCTCGTGAGCTTTGCCTTTGGGCCGTCCTGGGCCGCTTAGCAGATGAACTGCGGCCATGGGAAGACTTTGTTGCATCTGACGCTACTAGACTGCTCAGTGCCTCCATGCTGCTTGGATGGCTGGCCATGAAGCAGGTCATTTACTGTGCAGATTGGGAGGATGAAGAGAGTGGAGAAATCCGCTGTGAGTGTGGAATTCCACTCGACAGCTCCGAAAAGACAGCTAGCAAACGTGTATCCTTGATGCCTGCGGTGGCTGCTGCCAGAGAGTTTTTGCAACTCATGGCCGAGATCGTTGTGGCCGGTGAGGTGTCCAATGTTCAAAAGCTCTACACCAACACCCTCTCCAACGAGGACTGGCAGGTGCGACACGTGTATTAACACGCGAGCTCGATCGAAGTCCATGAGACTCGGTGAGTCTGTTTCCCCAGTCCGGTGAGGCTCCGCTTTTGGCTTTGGACCTTTAGGTTGTGAGCCCTCTTTTGCGACCGGGACGTCTGACCATGTGTGTATCCTCCGAAGGCATGTTGGACCCCTTTATTTATATCCCCTAATAATAGACAAAATCAATGCAAGCATCAATTTTTGACTGAACTTTGGAGTGTGTCAACTGGCGATCTATTGTGAAGCTCACAGTTCAGCCACCGAACATTAGAATGTCACAACAATGTGTCATAGCGAGTTCGCCAAACTGAACACCCAGTAAAACGACCCACCTGGTCACTGACCGCACCTCCTTTTGTTCGTCCCGTCCTTCCGTCAGAAGGTGGTGTCCAGCTGTGTGCTCCAAGCTGGAGGAAAGACCCAACGCTATCTATTGCTGGATCGGATGGACCTTCGTTTGCCTCCCCGTGCCCGACGGCGGATGGCCCACAGTGATGGCCCGCTGCCGGCCGATGAACTCTTTCGAGAAGAGGCGGAGGACAAGCAAAAGTGCGGTCAGACTTGGGGTGTTGGGACGTAGAATTTGGGATCTTCTTGAAGTGCTTTGAAGCATGAAGACTTAATGTTTCGAAGATGTTGGCCGTACTGGAAAAGTGAATCTTTTGGAAGCCTTTGGCGAAACCTGCTATATATAGTATCAGGACGGTGCTGGCTTACTGACAGTGACTGTGAGTCGTTGGGCAGGGGTCTCACACCAGGTGCTCAGTCCGGAGATCACTTTTTGGTCCTCCCTCCAGGGGATGGAAATCTGCATGTTCCCTCCTCTCCATACTTTCAGATTCCCCACATTCCAAAGGCAACAATTCCCGAGAAGCATGCACAAAAGAGGGCAATGTGCAAATACTGCATGGCCCATCTAGTTCGCTGTTTGAGCTGGGTTTGCTCTGAGTGTTCTTTCCCACGGTTTGTCTCTGTCATGTGTCTTCATACATGTCTCAGTGTTGCTTCCACTGGTCCTCCCAAACCTGGATGGATAGTCCCTGTTTCTTCAACAAGAAGTTTAACCATCTAAAAAACACAAATACACAGATCGATACTGTATGTTTCACTGTGATTGAACGTTTCACTGCGAAAACTCTGCTTGGAGGAACTCACGTTCAACCTTTGAACTTAACAGTATAAACTAAGCTTACAATATGAACAGCCCCAAGAATCGTCAGATGATTTTGTTATATCTTGCTGGAGCCACAACGAACCAACCAACCAACCAGCCAGCCAGCCAACCAACCAGGGATTACTAAGGCCAGTAGATCCCGAACAACACCAACCCAGTCTGAGGGAGTGGCAAGGTCACCATCGGTCACCATGACCCAAAAGCGCGGTGATCCGCGCAGTGCTTCGCTTCTCCCGATGATCAGCTCCTTGCGCAGCAGACTCCCAAGGCAGGTCCTCGTGATGAGCCGCTCTTCAGTGCTTTGGCGGATGCGGTGGCCGGGGGCCTCAAGGGCCTCAAGGGTGGGCAGGATGGCTGGTAGACAGTTCATGTGAGCCGTTCGATGATCAAGACACGTTCATTGAGGGTAGTTGAATATATGTAACCGGTGTTGGATATGTGTAGGTGGTGTTGGACAGTTTCTAGACACTTAGGAATCAGTGAAAGAGGCAGTGAAGAGATGTGAAGAGATGCCCCGAGACGCGTGGGTAAATCGAAGGACACAAGACTGCAGGACTTGGTCTATCGTTCGCTTTGGTTTCTAGGGCCGTGTTGGGGCTGTTTGTGTTTGTGCTGGTGTTTTGTGGGAGCAAAAGGACAGGCATTGCCAGCATTGCCCTTCATTGAAGGCATGATTACGAAGCAATAGTTGAAGAATAAGGCAAACTGTTTGGTTGACTGCCACAACCAACCATTTGTTTGATTCCATTTGTATACTTTGATGACGGTGTCACACTGGAAATCGGACGCCCGGGCCCAGATCCGTCGCGTCAGCGAACTGGAGCTGCTCGTCGGCACGTGGACGCGGTTGATGGGGGGCACCCGAGGATGAGCTGGTTTGGTTGCCGCGCAGGACGTTGGTTGAAAGGAAGGCATTGGATTTCGAAGGAGCTGAATCGGATTGGAGGAATGCAGTGGATTGAGAGTTTCATTGTGTGTAATGAATGTGTACAGTAAGCCAAATTATATAGAAGAACCAAGGCTTTGCAGCGGTGCATTCCATCCTGTTCATGTAGGCCAGGTAGGTGAAATGTGCCCTGCAAGTTTGGCGTAAAGGGCATCAGCGTTTTGACTCGACCCCTCATCTGACAAGAGTAGTTTAGAGTCCATTTGCTTTTTTCAGGGTTATCACTCTCTACCTCCACTACACTCCGACTCACTCAAATGGAAGTGATAAAGTAGTTTAAAGGAAAGTTGTCTTCCAAAAGGGACCCATGCCATTTTACATCCAAAAGGGACCCATCATGGGAGGTGCAAGCGGCTTCGCTTCGGAGCCAACCAGCGGTATGGCCACTCCAGCTGCGCGGCGCGCGGCGCCAGGCCGCTCCATGTGGCCAACCTCTGCTGGGCCTTCGCCAACGTGGCCCGCGCCGATGAGCCGGGGACGCCTGGAGGGAGCCACCGGGGCGACCGCGCCCACCCGACCAGACCGTGGGGGGGGCGCAGATCGGAAAGGAACAGAAGGGGATCAGAAGGGATGCGAAGAGGCAGATGATCATATCAGTTATCAGTTATCATATCATATACAGTATAGTATATTACAGTATATAATATACTTTGTCATTATATATATATATATATACTGTCTATTCAATATGCAGTTTTTGTAGTATAGAGACAAGTAGAATTTCCTCAGCTACGATACGGACACGCACATTGCCAAGTTCTTCTACACCGCTGGTGCCTGTTTGAAACTAGATGTGTGTTCCTGTTTCTTTGTATAACTTGGACAGGATACTGCAACAACAACAACTTGTTAATTGTGTGCTTTGGCACTCCTAATACCAGTAGCCACCAGTTAGCACTCCAAATTGGATCTTCAGCAATGATATGTTCAGTTGGGGATCACTATCGATGATTCTAGGATTCTAGGAGGACTAAGGGAGAGTGTACTTCCAAAGTAACAAGCCTGATTGAATTCCGGACTCAGTATGACTTATCAACTGCTTGCATGCCATGCTCATTCCAAGACTGCCCACTCCTCCAACTCTTAAAGGGAAGCACCTCCCACCACCTCCCACTCCCACCACCTCGCTGCTTCGCGGTGCGACCGCGACCCGACAGGATCAACGACCTGCGAAAGCCCGGCATGCGCCACGTGTCGCTGTTCCAAAGCCTCGGCCGTCGAGTGTCCAGGCCACGTCCTCGGTGCCGGGGCGGGTTGGAGAGAGCAAGCACATGGATTTGCCGCGGCTTTCCATGCGTATTTGGGGATGCTCCCCCCCCGCGGCATGGAAAGTCCATCAGGATTCAGCACTTTTTGCAGTGAAAGCGATGCTCCTGCTTTAATGATTCCATGACGAACTTGAGTAAAATGTCCTCTTGGTGGGTAAGATGCTGCCAAAGTGGTAGCTTTACATCCACACTAATCAGTCGGTGTGTGTTTTTCTTTTTGGTCTTTCTTTAAATCCTTTGTCTTTGTTGAATCCTGATGAATCCTGTCTCAGGTCAGGACTAGGATTCGTCTTCGGGGATCACATCGCCTCTACCCACCAAATCCTCCAGCAGGTCACGGAAGTGCCGCACGACCGCCGTCGGTCGCCCCGTCCGTCGCCCCGTCCGTCGCTCGACGTCTCGGTGCCGCAAGGCTCGCCGGGGAGCTGCTGCCGCAACACCACGCTTCGATCCTGTGGGCCTTCGCCAGCTGCGAGGCGAACGGAGAGACCGGGAGGAAGAGGAGAGAACGGAGGTGATTCCGTGTTGTTTGGATGGATAGATGGGAGGACTGGTGGAATCAGAGGATGGAACCTGTGGATCTAGTGCTGGATCGCTGGTAGGATAGGTCCGTAGGACAGCCCCCCTCCAACGGCGATCACTGGAGGGGTTCCATGACGGAAAACATGGTCCAATTTTCGCCCTGCTTCTCTGAAAAGCACTGAGTCTAATGCTAATGCACAATTATACACAGCAGTGGTTGGTTGCAGGAACTCCGGGCGGTTTTTCCCAGGTGTTCAGACCTTCCTTTGCCTGGGCGAAAGAAAGCGGGGGAAAGATCTGTCGCCGAGTCCAACCGAAAACACTCCAAGGTCGACGGGACGACGAGGTTCGCAGAAACCGTGTTCATCCGCTGCGGTGTTTTTGCGGTCTTCGGGTGAAGGTTGAATGAATTTCCCGGCCTCCTAGAGGTGAATCCCCCGACAATGGGGAACATGTTTGTTCTGTTTCCCCAGTTTCTGGACAGCAAATCCAAGGGTTGGCGTATGTGAGAGATGACTACTTCATGCCATGTGTGAATCAGAATACTTGAATTACTGTACTTCAGTACATCCCGGTTCCATCAGTAATTTCAGTTCACACGACGACTCGACTCGGCGACTCACACTGGTCCCTCACCAGACTCTCCAGTTCCACTGGTCAAGCAGCGCAGGTCAAGGATGGTGTGTCCGCACTGATCGACCACATGTTCCCAGCGATGCAAGCAAGGCCAGTTGAACTGCTCGCATTGATTAGTCGACGTCGTTTCCTGCGGATATTGAGACCTCTCGCATCAAATACGTGGATCTTGGTATTTCTTGAATTGGTTGTTGCGAGATTGCAAGAAGACATGTGTTGGAGAACGTGTGAAAGAGATTGAAAGAGCCCTTCAGCAGAGGAAGCATGCAGAAGCTCAAGCGCTAGTTGAAGGGCTGTGCTAAAGACTAAAGACCCCACTTGGTTTGATCCAAAGATATCAAAGAATCTAAGGGCCAAACAAACCAGGCACAGCTGATCACAGCTGTATACATACAGTCAGCCTGGAGCAGATAGAATTTGGACATCCAAAGAGCAATGGGAAACGGGTCATATCTTCGGTATGGTCATATTATTCTATCTACCCCAGGATGGTTGATGATGGTTGTAAGGTTATAAGTTTAGCTCACATGTGCGCGCTCGAGATCGATTGCGCCAAAACCCCGGGGACAACATCTCCCGAGCTTTGGTTTGCCTTGATGGAAATCGCAGTGCAGTTTCGCTGGATGTTTTAAAGATTGATAGCGTGATTTGCCGGACTTCCCTGCAACCTCGGGGTCGGTCTTTGACCGATGGGACCTTTTTGGGTCGACGGTGGAGACCCAACGTTTAGGCGGAAGGTGGGTTCCTTCAGGTGGGTTCAGGTGCATCCCCCCAAAAAAAAGGAACTTGGACTGAAAGATATCAGTGAGCTGTTTGGTTGTCAGCAGAGGCCTTCTCTATCTTTATCTATCTTTGGGAGATATGAACGTATTGAAACGTCCACATGTGTCTACATATAGCATCCGCTTGCGGGTAGTGTCACATGGAACAACATGGCGGTGCCTGTCTATCCCTGATATGCTCCTTCCTTCTCAGAAGGTGGATATATTGTCAATATTCCCTATATGAATCCATGTACCCTCCATACAAGGACTGAAATGGAAAGGGTTTGGACCGGGTTGGATCCTCCAAATATTTTTTCCATTGGAGAAGAAAACCCTGCCAATATAAAACTGTTTCTTCGAAACCAACCGACTTGGCCGTTGCGAATTCCTCCGGGTTCTTGCCTCTGCGCAGACCTGGGTCCTACGATGGTCGGCAAGCGCCATGGCTCAGTCGTTCCAGTTCGGTCGACGCGTTTGGAAGAAACACCGACGGCCCAAAGGGCTGAGGGTCCTCAGTTCGCTAGGGGTTTGGACCACAAAAATGGGGGGTTGAACCGAAGCAACATGTAGCAAGCAGTTGGTTCGGGTTGGTTCGGGAAAATCGATTTGGTCAACGGCTACACCTGGAGGGCACCAGGGTTCGTACATGGTGCATGCCGTGGTACTTGATGCAGGACCTTGAAGGCTATCGTCAGCATGGCTCTGACAGAGCAGACTCTTTCAATCAGAGTCTTGGACCCCAAACACTGTACCGGAAGAGCACGCCACTCATGGTACTCATGTCACTACGCTTTGCAATGCTCCGCTGTTCCCTGTGGAATTTATATATAATATTATACAGTATATAATATAGCCGCCCATCCAAACATGGACTTCAGTAGCTTCGAAGGGGTTTCCAATTGAATAATTTCCCTGCACTACTTGTGGATCTCCATTGGACACCTCTTTGAAGGTGTGTCAATCCCCATTTGACACTACGTATGTTTTTGGTGAGGTTCAATCTCAGATTCTCTCAGGACAAAGTTGGGGTGGGCGTTTGATACTATAGAGTCAGTGGGTGAATTTCAAAGGGGGAAATGGAGAGACTATAGACCTCAGAACCAACATGGAGAGGGAAACCCACCCGAAACAGTCCCCGTTCCGAAAGAATACCCACACAAAATACCGGACCCTTCCTACTCCCTTCCTAGTCCCTCCTCATGCAAAAAGCATGTTGCAAGGTCCACCTTCCACCTTCCGCTTTCCCACCCTGTTCTTTGAACCCGGGGACCCGGTCCGGTCAGGCTGCCGGGATGCTCTGGTCCCTGGCGGCGCCTCGGTCTTGGTTCGGAACACCGGCTCCGGGGTTCAAACAGCGGTGGGACTCCAGTGGGACGTCCTAAGTGTGTTCAGGTTCACATGGGACCAGCGATGGGAGTTCCCAAAACAGCCTGAGCTCTTCCAGGAGCTCTTCCAGGTGCCCTTGGATCCACTGCCTGTGCAGCGCATGATCCGCGCATCAGGCACCGAGGAGGTCTCGGAAAGTGAGAGGACACTGGGTACCTGCTGGATTGGTGCCTTTGGCAGCTGGCATGGCTCATGGTGTTCGATGGGACCCCATGGCGTGAACGGTCTTTCACCCCCTAAGCTCAGGGCTCCTGGCCCATATGCTCAGGTGACCGGTGGTATTCGACCCAGACCCCCCAACCACCCCACCCCTGGCCCATCTTCGAAACGGGTGGGACAGGAGCCCCCCAGGACCCTTGTGGTGTTTCATCACCTCTCGAACGAGATCGGCACCCTAGACGTTTCTGGTCGACCCGAACATGTGAACACCGGAAGAACGAGCTCGCCGTCCCTTTTGGTTCCTTTTGGCCGCACACCCTGAGGTGCTCCGAGAGCCACATCAGCCGTTGATGGACTTCCTGATTCATGAGGTTTGCCACACTGGAACCGTCTCTTGGTGGAATGATGTGGAGCCGGCACCGATGAGACGGCAAGCGCTTCGCTCGCCGAAGCCGGAACTGGACCTGGCAGTTCAGTTCGGAGTAGAAAGCAGATTTTGCTATATATATATACTGTGTATATTTGTTTATTTATTTAACTTGTCTTTTTAAACTGTAGAACTTCCTACAGAAGAGAGCTCGGATTTGACTTGATGTTCAACGGAAGGGTCCGTGTATAAGTGCAGGCCGCTGCTTTGACTTGATCGGACCCAATGATCCAGTGTTTGGGTTGTGTTCGTCCTTGCTCCAGCAGTCCAGCTCACTGTGGAAGAGCCTGGATCTCGGACATCACGTCTAACGCTGGAGAGATGGTCAGCGGTGTCTCCCCGAGGATCCAGTCCTTTTGATCCCGGTTTCGCTCACATAGAACTGCATGGAACTCCCCGAGCTTCGCCCTGTTCTGCTCCAAGAGACTGGACCGCCCCAGACAGACCCCCCAACTGATCGGCCACCCCCCAACTGGTCGGCATTCTGCTGGGACTCGTCCCGTCGACAGGTCGTGTTTGGTCGTCCCAGACGGGTCACACGCCATAAGGGCAGCAGAAGGGCGTGCCAAGCTTCCAGGGCCCCGGTGAGAAGCTTGTGGTGCCCCAAAGCTCAGCTGAGGAAGGGCTGATTCGAGATGGTCCTGCTCATTTGGCGTGGCTTGGATGGGTACGAAGTGCTTCCGATGACTTGACGCTGGGATGGAGCTGCCCAGAGTGTTTAGATTCAAGAACATCTCGACATCGAGCCTCCGGTTGTTGCCCAATGGATGCTGCAACAAATTGTGTAGCTTCAGCAACACAATTGTTCCACCCAGAAAACAGGTCACTTCAGTGGTCTCTCTGATTTGAAATCCTTAATGTCAGACTCCAAACAAAGGTCCTCAGCTTGGGGTGATGTGGTGCATGGTCCATCCGCTTCTCCTCTTTGTGCGGTCGGAAACCATTTGCCAGGTCCATCGTTTGGGCCACCGCACGATTCTCCAAGCCAAACCCTTTGGTCGCGCAGGCCGCGAGTGTGTGGAAGACGAAGACGGGCTAAGACACCTTTAAACCACTTCCCTCATGAGCCCATGCTGAGCCCATGCTGAGCCTCGTTGGATGGAAAGCCCAGAGTGGGGACAAGAAGCTACTAGGTGGAGGCCGTCACCACGAAGCCTTTCGCCTATAGCCTTTAGCCGACCGTCGCAGGCGCTGAGCGCGGCCCCGCGGCGTCTGGCCGCCGAGCTCGCCGGCGGCGCCGCGGAGCTCAGCGAGGGCCGAAGCCTGGGCGCCTGGGAAACCGGGTTCACGGTGGCGCCACGGGCGGGCGAGTGAAGGGTTGTGAATATGTGAATGGTGGGACCTTTGGGGGGTGGTCCCAAGAAAGCACTGGTGTTTTGGGAGGCCATCTTTGGGGCATGAGGGAGTTTGTTGGAGGGGAGGTTGAGGTTTCCTTGGATCCCCAATGTTGCCCTAGAGACCATGGAATCCACCAGACATGCTGCGGGTAGCGATCAAGGCTTCAAGTCCGCCCGAGTGTGGTCACGTGTGGTCGTGGGTTGTGGTGGCTGCTCCTGCGACTGCTGTCGTTGTGGCTGGTGGAGTTGTGGCAGTTGTTGGTGGTGGTTTGCCATAGTTTGCCTATGTCATATCACATCCCAGGAACATCTTTGGGTCAGCTCTTTGAGTGGTATCTTCACCTCCATGCCGGTACCACCAGGGATGATGTTATTTTGAGACAGGATTGCTCAGCACTGGCTTCCTCCCTGATTTAACGTTCAGAGGATGCCCATGAAGAAACTAGCCATTGTAGCGCTGCATGTTGCTACGTGTCATGTGCTTAGCTAGTTTGGATGAGTGTGGCAGTTCTGGCATGTTATGGCCTTAGGGAATAGGCATATTTTGTTTTGGTATACTGTATGTGTTCGTTCTCGTGTTCTATGATCCAAAGGTATCCCCTCTTCAACTTGGGAACCTCAACAATCCAACTTGACTCGTCTTCTCTCGGAAGCCGTTTTTTTCCCGGGCGGACCAGTGGACTGGCGGCGTTAGTGGACCACGACAGAGTGCATGGCACCCGATCGAGTCCAAGGCCTCCATAGGTCCGGGGTCGAAGCCTCTAAGGCTAAGGGCTTTGGGTCCCCTCAAGACCCTTGTTTTGGAGGGTCCGGATCCTCAGGGCACTCACCATGACCCGCTCACCCTGCGATGCGCAAAGCACCGCGCGCGAACAGGGCAGAACATTGCTGCGGTGGTTCGCTCCATGTACGTGCCTTGCCGTGAGTCTATGGGAATCCATGGTTTACATGCACATGTTGATGTGAGCCTGAGTTCACAAACGGGTGCCAACTGGCGGAAAGATCCATGACCAAACAGTTTATCATGTGTTGGTAATTAAACTATAGGTTCTTGTTCCCACCACTGGATTGAAGAAAGACGGATGTCTGTCGGAGTTCTAGTGGACATGCCCCTCACCTTGGAGCTGCATCTGAGGAATTGGGCTTAAGCAGCACAGCACGCACACTCCTCGATGAACTGGAGGCCGTTGAGCAGATGGTTCCAACGGAGCCCATGAGGGTGGGTCCAAACCCGGAGCCATAAACACCATGTGGCTTAACCTTCCAGGTATATAGGTCAACCAAGTTATCCTGCTTTTGACCCACAGCCATATGTTCCAATGGATGCTGGTAATGATAGAAGGAACCCGAGTGTCCTGAGGTGACTTCAAAGCTCAGGGTGACTTCAGATCCATGGTGAAGATTCTTGGGAGCGGATGTTTTTTTTCTGAAAATCACCCTGTCACAGTGGACCAGTGGTGATACGGCTTTGCAATGCCACTATCATACACTATCCGTGGCCCACCTGCGCAGGGTCCAAGCTAGAACATCCAGAGGAAAAGACCATTCCATTCTGAAGAAGAACACGAATTGGAGAAGAGAGCCTCAGAGCATCTGAATTCCCAGAATGCCAATTCGTGTTCTTTCGATTCTGAAGAAGAACCTCTTCATGATGCCTCAGAATGCCTCAGAGCATCCCATGATATCCCATGAACATGAGATGAGGTGTTTCTCCCTCAACGACCCACCGCCATTCGTCGTCCCACCGGAACCGGGTCGCCGTCGGTGCGGTGCTTGGGTCTTTCGTCCCCCCAAGACGTCGACTCAGTCGACCACGGGAGATCCGAGGAACCGGGGTGTACAAACTGTATCAGTTCGTTCATGAATTGGAGAAATCCAGCCGTAAATCATCGTATATAACTCCTTCCCACAATCTCCGAGTTCGTGAGTTCTGAACTTGAAGTGCTTGGGCGACGCTGTCTGGAGCGTTTTCTCGATCCATCCGATCGCCGCAAGGCCCTGGGCCTCTTGTCTCCTGGAATCGAGGAGCTCGCGCGAAAACGGAAGTGCGTTTTGAGACGATCTAAAGGAAAGAATGGTTTGAAAAAGCTCTTAGCCGTTTTGAGACTCATGGAAAAAATGGTTTGAAACAAGACAGCAAAGTGTTCAAAAGGTCCTCTTAGAAAGGGACCTGATTAAAGATAGGACCCAAACACCTTCCAGATTTGAGCTAAGAGTTCTGATGGAAGATAGATGAAGATGGGTGACTCAGAAGTGGATACACTTATGTCCACATTTCTACCTTGCAGATGGGACACCCTGGGTGACCTCGGGCCTGAAGAAAGTTGGCTGATGATTCTTTTCAGGCCAACTGAATCTCTTTTTGGTGCACCCTCACCCACAGGAAAGAGGACAAATCCCCATCCGTTGTTCGCACGGCGTGTTGAAGAGATTTGATCGCACGGCCATTGAAAATCTCCGGCTCACCTGGAAGTGGAACACCCCCTTTTAAAGGGACATCCTCTTCCATGTTTCCCACTTTCCAAGTGAGTGAACCGAGGGGCATGGTCTTCCAGACTTTCCGAAAAAAGCTCCACCCTATGAGTCGTCCGGTCATCGGGGGTGGTGAAACCGTTTCACGAAACGGCCGGGTATCGCGGTTCATCTCCACAGCTGAAGAGGCCTGGGCTGCTTGGCTTTGGGGTGCTTTTGCAGTTCAAGATTTGCAACTGGAAGTGAGAGCTTGGGCGGGTGTGAGCCTCAGACCCATTGTGACTGGTGACTGGTGACTCTGATCTGCTGACAGGTTCCACTTCGGGAGTGTTCCGCCCAAAAACACCTTTCTGGAAGCCAGGAAGATGCGCATGGTCCCATGGTCGTTTGCTGAAGTCCATCCACAGTTCTTAAGGGGGGGAAGATGTTGGTTTCTCGATCCAAATGATTTGAGCGATCTCATGCGCTCATTGACGACCACCGAGACGACCACCCACCGTGACGACCGCTCTGGGACCGACGAAGGACTGAAGTGATTGGAGAGACTGAGGCGTTGGTGGCGTCCTTGTTACACGAACGTATCGATGTGACGTGTTGCTCTAGTAGTGCCAGGAGCTACTGCGAATGCATCGATGTGACCTGTTTTGGCAGCATGATCACACTTGGCCCCGCATGTTTATGTGTCAGAATCTGCCCAACAACTGTCAGAGTCTGGGAGGCGAAATTGGCAGTGCACTCCCAAAACTGCTGAGGTTTTCATTGCTGATCCCAAAACTGCTGAACTGCACTTGTTCAGGGCCTCCTGTACTGGAGACAATCCATCAATGATTTACGGTGCCAAAACCAGACAAAAGCGATTCTCCTTCATTGTAGATACTTCTAAACATATACAGAACATTGGGGAACTGCAACAACCAAGAAGAAGCAGGAAGGAGACTGCAGCAAACTGGCCCAGGAAAACAATGCCAGGATATGCCGGGTCTATTCTTGGCATTAGTGATGTATTACAATTCTACGACCCTCAATCCTCCTGCTATGTGTGCTTTTGCCAGAATGTGCTTTTGAATCAGATCCGGCCAAATATGATATGTGTTCCTTGTTGCCCAGAAATTATTTCGCATTCAACTTAGGCCTGAGTGAAAGCTGTGAGGGGAGTGCACGAAGCTTCGTGGGGGGCTCAGCCTGGGTGGGGCAGCTTCGTTTTCCGTCTTCCCCTTTCACATCTTTTCACGGTTTGGAGGAGATACACAAGTGTGTCGGGGCCACTTGAAAACCGGAATTACATGCCCTACACCTCCAAGTACCTCCTCAGGTTCGGTGTTTAGACCCTCCTGGCACCCACCCCAGTCCCACCTTCTCAGAATGTACTTGGAGGCCTTAGGGATGTAATCAATCATTACATGTCGTTGTGCCCTTGTTGCGAATTATATATCGTTGTGCCCCAGCGTTGCGCTGCGAGAAGAGAACGCAGCGTTCCACCGGTGTGAACCGCCCCACCCACCGTCCGTAAAAGGGGACGGGTCCAGTTGGCCGATCGATCTAGCGGATGCATGCGGATGCATGCGCATGGTCCGATTGGGTTGGATCTCATGCCCTAGTTAATCTATGGGACTGGAATATTTGCCTACATTTGAGGTGATGTTCAGGTGTTTTAAGGGTCCATGTAGGTGAATATTCCATGCATGGATGGTCTGGGATGCGAAGAATCCAATCGGAATCCGTTTGGATGGGGGGCGAACCAGCAACGGGCAGCCTTGTTTCATGAAGGGCGACAGTGTGCGATGGTCGTTCTTCATGGGTGGGTGTCGTTCTGAACGGTTGGGGCCTGGGATGGACAGATGGAGTGACGACCGCAGAAATGTCTACCAGGTCGGGTCGAGAGAAGATCATGCACGGTCGCACGAGAAGCACCGAACCGCATCGATCGGACCAGAATCAGGATTCGGAACCGGTACTGGTAAGGTCTCTTGGTGTCTCCTGAGATATTTTTTCGGTGCAACTCTGAGAGCAAACTCAGAGCTATGGAGAGCGCCTCGTGGTGCAACTCTGAGAGCTGAGCTCAGTGGACGGAGAAAAAAGGAAGGAGAGTCGGTGTGCATCACATGGCTTCGCTTCGGAGAGCTCAGTTGGATTGCCAAGCCTCTGGGGGAACCAGAGCCCGAAGTCTGTGGGGCCTGGTGAAGGTGAGGGTTCGTGCTAGGCTGCTAGACGGTCTAGGCTGGTGAGCCGAGCAGGGCTGACACCTGGGGTCTCCATCTTCACCTTATAGCAGGGAGGAACTGGGAGCACCGGGAGGGAGTCCTGTAAGGTGCTGTCAGTGACGTGCTTGTCAGGGAAGAATCTGGATTCTTTTCAAGAAGCCCTTAAGAACAAGATGAACTAATTCCTGTACCATTTGTACTTTGAACTACTCAATTTGCCAGTCGTTCAAGAATCCCTCCATGTAGCTGTGGTTTGGCCCGGTAGGGCATGTGGCCACATCTTTGGATCACCGGAACGTGTGTTTCACTTCACCATCCCCTAGAAGTTCCTTGAAAACACATCACACAGGATTTCGGGGTGGCTCAAAGGCAAGACATTTTCTAGATGCTGAGCTCTTAAAATCATTGAATCCTTACAACAGGAATAACAGGCCCCCGGAGAAAATGGATAGCACTTATGAGCACTTATGTAATCTTATGATATCTTATGCAGACATATATGAATGATTATATTGAATGACATGTGCGGCACTCACGTCCGGTACGTGTTCATACTTTTTCATACGTGACGTGAAGCCACCGATGGGTGGATCTCCACTGGATGGTGGTTGCGCCGGGAGACCCTGAATTTGGCGTTCGCACGGCTTGGATCTGGACGGCCGGACTCACATGTGGGCTACTGCTTGGAATGATTCATCAGCCTAATGCAGGTGGTTTGGTGGACGAGATGAGCTTCTTTACATCACGTTGATCCTGTGTGTTCTATGATGATATTGTGTATTGTGAATATATATATATATGGCAAGGTGTGCAATGTTGACAGTTGATAAATCACCTCCCAGTTGGATTCTTTGCAATTTCTCATCTCCTTAAGGGGGGAGGTGATGACCGACAGATGCATTTTGCCCCATTCCAAGCTACTCAGCAATTGCTGGGTGACTTGAGCAGGTGCTGCTCCGAAGGTCTCCTGGGGTGCTAAGCTGTTCTCGTGCATCCTGATCAGCAGCCTCACTGGCTTGGCCATTCTCTTTCCACGCGGTCCAGTGGATGATCACGAAGATGACATTCTGAGGCAGGGTGGTTCAAACACAGAGTTTCCGTCTGTGAAATATCAGATTCGCACCGCGCACCTACAAAGAAAGAATCTGTTATATAATGTTATATAGGTTTTACATGGTTTTGCATGGTTTTACTTATTTCTGAGGATTCGAGTAACCCTGTTGCGAGGTTTTTCACTTTGGGATCATTGAGTGTGATTGCATTGCTTCATGTCCTGTGCCTTCTTAAGAGCCATCCACCATCCTGCTACATGACTGATGCCAAGTGGTGCATCTTTGGTATTTGGCTCGGTCGGATGAGCTATTGGCTTTACGAGATTTCCCTTGAGTATGGCTGGAGGTCGTTCGCAAGCTTTCCTTTGTCCTTGAACTGTGGCTTCGACTCCGTGGTTTGCTGCTGGATTCTGATGCTCTTCCAGTGCAGACTTCAGGTGCAAGACCCGTTCGCTCCAGTACCCAGACGCTCCATGTATGGAATATATGCCTACATTGGGGTGCTTTGGGGGGGTCATGGGGGTCAATGTAAGCATATATATTCCATACATGGAGTGTATGGTATATATATATAGACCCCCATCATCCCCAATCTCTTTCGATCTTCAATCGACGGGTGTGTTTTTTCTCGGATCGGATCGCGGGTGCATCACGTCGCCTCTTTTTTGGGGTCGGAGCTGCAGAGCTGCAGTGGCGCGACTTGTTTGCGTTTTGAAACGAGGCCCTTCATGGAATCACAAGAACAGCTTCCAGACTTTGGCTTTACATCTTTGTGGTGGCCTTGGCAGCGGTTTTGTTTTGTGTTCCTTTTTGAGAGATATCTGAGATATCGTGGATTGTTCCAATCGAAGCCAAGAGGTCTCCAGGTCTCCCAAGAAATCGAGCGATCAGAGGCGGCCTTGTTCCTGACGTACTACTTCGAGGGCCTTCGCTTGGGCTACGATACACGCCTGGGTGACTGCTGCGGCTTGGCTGTGAGGCTGCCATTTCTGTGCTTCTGGGCTAGCTATATCATCAGTGTTTGCGTGTCCATCACAAACTGCATGGCGAGTTTGAGGATGGAATCTATGAAAGTTAGAGGTCTCGCCAAGCAACAGGCACATTGGACAGGGGATGACCTAGCTACGTGCGCTGGACCTAGCTGCTTGAGGAACCGAAACAAAACGCGATGACTTGCCAACCGACCAATGAACTTTGACACAACTCACAATCGAGCAATGAAATTCTATGAAGTTCTTGAGTCCCTTCTTCCTCCCCTCCTTGTGACCCATGTATCGTGATTCTTTTCTTCCCTTGTGTCCAGTCGTGAATATCGGACGTTGGAGTCTCCTGCAGATCCTGTGGGCCATTGGGATTCTGCGGATGGAGCGCGTGCTTTGTGCTGTCGTGGGCATCTCCTGGTTCCTCTCTTATTCACTTCAGGCTTTCGTGCTTGCACTGCAGACCTGGCAGCAGAACGACTATGCCTCTCAGATGGTCAGAGTTTTACTCACTCACAAATATTTTTTAAGGTGAACTTCTTGTGGGAAATAGGACTCCGTCGGACGGCTCAGGAAAGCAGTCAGGAATCTCTTTGGGGTTGGGTGGACATTTTGGGCCACGTGGATGGTGTCATCAGCTGCGTGAATTTAGCGTTCCTCTCGGGAATTCTTTGGCAGAGCTCCCCTCCTGCTGAAACAGATGCTGAAACAGAATCGAAGGCAAGACTCAGGGGCCTATCCTCAATGGCAAGCTTCCTGGAGGCTGGCGAGGAGCCCTTGTACCATGCCAAAATCGAAACTCGGCCAGTGGCTTTTTGGCTTGTTTTGATGCTTTTTGCTGGTCAACAGGCGTACCAAGTTTTGTACCCAGTTACCCAAACCCTTCCAGCTTAGTGGCAAAGAGGAAGAGTTGGCGCACCGTGGGATTCGTTTGGCATTCTTGCTGGATTTCTGGGAAGAGCTCTTGGAAGGGACGCTGATGCCAAGCTTTGATGCTGAATGGTCGCTGACCAATGACGTCGTCCGCTTGGCCATTATCCCCAGATCGCGTGTCGGAAGAGGTGGGAAAGCCTTAGCATCTATCTGGGAAAATTCGGTGTTGCCACGGAATATGGTCACACACAACTGGACCAACAGATTTGCTTGCCTCGTGGGAGGCATAGTGGCAGATGCTTTGAATGAGGGCACCTACGAAGAGCTTGCGGAGCAGTTGAATAGCGAAGAGGGTGTGGAGAAGCTGAGAAACAGGCTGTTGGAATGCGGAAAGATGGATGTAACCTACTGGGTTTGTGCCTTCTCCGTTAATCAGCATGCAAGCATTTGCGGCGGATATGGTCCTGAACCCCCAGAAGACACTCCTGAATGGCAAGCATGGGATCAGAAAAGATACGATTCTGTGAGTTTGCAGAAGTTCCCTCTTTGCCGTTGCTCTCAGCCCAAGATTTTAAGCCATGCAAACCCTGCTTGTGAGTTGAACAAGTTCGATGACATGATGCGATATTTGGACCGGCGAGTGTTACTATTTAGCCACGTGATCATCGTAGACCAACAGTTTGAGCTTCTTCGCAGGGCATGGTGTGTAGCTGAAATCGTCGAAGGAAATGTCTTAGGCACCTGTCCACAATTAGGTTCTTCTTTGAAGCAAGTGGGTAGGGATTACTTGCAGTAACCATCTAGTATGCTGTTTCCTCACATGCCTTTCACGCTGTTTCGCTCGCTCCCCCTTTCACAAGCACCGAGGCATTCCTGCGAAGATCAAAGTCTTTTCCCAAGCTGCCGTGGATGGCCACTACGACTGGCTCGCCGTCATGGATGTCCGGGACTGTTCCGCCTCGTCGGCGACGGACAAGGCGTTTATCTTGGGCAAGATCGCCGATGTGGAGGCCTTCAACCTGAAGCTACAACAGTTGGTCTTCAGTGCCGAAGGCGCGTTCTTGGCGGGCGTTCGAACGGCATGCGTTTTGTGTTTGCTCGAACAAAAAGGGAACGGAAAGAATAGATAAAGACAGAAGTATGTGCAAGATTCGTTGTTGGTCGAATGAAATAGTCTTCCAAGGAGCCATGTTTCCTCTGTGTGTGCTTTTGGGGAGTGTACATAATTTTGGCGCAACAGCTTCATTTCTACGTGGAAGGATGATTTTAATGCCATGTGTGTGTGTGTTTTTGTAATACCTGTGTGTGTGTGTGTTGGGGGGGGGGAGGACACGTTGACTCACACAAGTGCCCAAATACGTGTACCACGTACCCATGCTAGCAGACACATGTGTATAAAAAAATACATATCCTATAGAGAAGGGAATCTCTCACTGGCCATTGCATAGGTGGTGTGGAATCCGTGGAATTTGCCCAAGATGAGCAGAAAGTAAGCCTAATTGAACTTGTAAGTCGTCCATAAAAGTTGGTACATTGGGCTCGCCAATCGGAGGCGGTTGAACCCCTCCGTTTTCATTGAATTGGCTGTGGTTTGGTCACGGCTACTAGGGTAGGGGCCATCGCGACTCTACTAGGGTGGAGACCATGGTTTGGTCTCAGGTCTTTACGGGGAAACGTCCCTCTCTCTCTCTCGTTTTTTCGCAAGAGAAGAGCTTTCAAAAGCGGTCTTTGACCTGCAGGGATGGATGGAGTTTCTCTTTCCAATGAACCTGTTCCACTGAATGTCTTGACAACACTGAAAGAATGCCGAAAAAATATGAGAGGTTGCTCTTGGTCAAGAAGGCATAAAGAAATCTTTATGTTTTGCTTCTTTTTCGCCAAATCTAGTCCGCAACTCCCTTTTCTCATGGCTTTTCTCATGGCACAACTCCAGGCCTCTTCTCAGATTGGATTGATGGCCAAGAACGCTCCAGGCAAGTGGGTCGGATCCTGCGGCGCTGTCTCAGCAAGGCCCCGTCCACCGCGTCCACCCGGCTACACTGGCGCGACCTCGTGGGCTGGAGCGAGACGGAGGCGGAGGCGACATCGACCTCTTCTGAGACCGAGTCGGAGAAGTTGATGTGGTGAAATGGAGCTGGGAAGTTCTCGTGGATGCGATTTTTGCATCGTATTGGTCGCCCCACAACCCTTGACACCCAGTTTGGATGCCAGCAACGTCGCTAGACGGATGCAGCCCTTCGTTGATCCCAGTTCCGCAACACTTGATTTTAGCCGTGCGACTCGAGAAATGAGCAAAAGTGAACCCTGCCAGAAATGAGTTGTTTGCCAGAAACAAGCATGACAAAACGTTGCGAAATGAGATGTTCCTCGTTTTCTTTATGTTGGTCAATCCTAGACAAGAAAGAAGCAGCTGAACCCTTGGACCCTCCATTTTTGGGTGTCAATTCTGTCTCGAACCCAAGAGAAGAATTCCTGCAAGCGGCACCTTTGGAACCATCAAATCTGTGACGTCCGCCGGGCGTTCCGAACAGTTCCATGTTTGGTTCTACTGTAGCATAGGAAACCAATATCTCATGACAGCAACGGTGATAAGAGACGTTTTACAACGTTTCGGTGAAGCTTGGAGATGGAAGCGGTCGGTATAGGTGTTGGGGACCGAGCAACGGTGAGCATCCTCGACTTCTCCTTTTGGTTCCTGCATCGAGTCTCGGGGCTCTCCAGCACAGCCCTTCAGTGCCTGCAGCCACGAAAACCTGGCTGAGGCTGCGAGGCTGCATGAAATTCCAAGTTCTAGTTGGTCCAAGTTCCACCTGGAGGCCATCGCTAGTAGGTTCGAGGCCATCCCTAGTAGGTTGGAGGCCATCGCCATCGCTATTAGGTGCTCTAGTTGGTCACAGTTGGTCCAAGTTCCACGTTTGTGTGTGTTCCATTTGGAGTCCTATTTGTACTGCTCGACGGGTGGTCTAGGCTCGATCCTTTTTCCGGAACCCCCGGCTTGGCTCGACGTTGAGCTTCATGGAGCTTCGGTTGACCCAAGAGTTGTGGGATTCCACATCTGACAAATCTGATGTTGACACAACGTTCGATTCCATGGATGTTGATGTTTGGAATTTGACCGAAGAGTTGTGGGATTCCTGCGAAAGCTTCTCCACAACTGCAAGTGTCCTCAGCTGCAAATTCCACTGAACTGTTCATGTGAGGGACTTGAGGGGGGGATGTGGGACCGCAAAAGGATGCAAAAAAGGTTTCCAACACGGGTCACCAGCATAGCTTTGTGCCACTGTTTTACTTATGTGAAATACACAGACCCTTGGAAGCTGCCATGAATAGGTTTTGACATCGAGATGGGACCTGATTGTCCCTCATAAACCTCCGTAGAAACCAAGCGCCTCCTGACAGATAGGAAAAGAAGATTCTTTCTCATGATTGAAGGTTTTTCTTCGACAACCTATTCTTGTGTCAGCATGTTGCACAAGAACCAAATACACAAACTAAAGATGTTCACCGGAAGTATCTACTCTGTACATGCACTTATACCATCTTATACCCTTATTTTCTTTGGCTCAAGAACAAGGTGTGTCTTGTAGGCTGTTACCTTTTTGAAATACTATAAAACCAACAAGTCTCCGGAACGTATTGGAGCCAGCCACCCATGATGCGATGAGATGGATCTGGACGGTCAAATTGACAGGGCTGCGGATCACCAATGCCATCTTCGTCGTGTCTTCTTTGACCCTTGGAAGCGTGCTTCTTTTATCAAGCTCGCAACGATGTTGCGCGAACACGTGTTTCGCGCAATGGCTATTAGGTTTGGCATCTGGTTTGATCCTGGGTGTGCTCCATGTTCCTGACGCTGGCTTTGCACCAGATACGCCTTGGATTTGGAAGCTGGCATTTTGCATCTTCATATCCATCTGCACGATCTACACGGCCACCTTTCCATGGAACGCGAGAGTACACGGAAAAGGCAACAGGTGGCAAGTGTCGTGGACTCTTGCAGCGACTTGGACATGTTTTCAGCACCCAAACTCGCGTGTTTGTGGCTGGATTTGATGTGCTTTCAGCACGGCTTCTCATTTTTGGCGGCAAGTGCAAGGCCTGAACCATAGCATGTTGAAGGGTAGGAAGGAAGAGGTGTCCAGTTCTTAGTGAGTGAGAAAGTCCTGCAGCATCGCTTTCTTAGTACAGCGAGGTAATTGCATGGCTTGCGATTGTGTGCATCCTCAAGAAGCACCCACCTTCGAGTTATGCGTATGATGCCAAATGCTGCATCCTGGGCATCTGGCTGTCATGCTCTGTATTCCAAGTCTTCTATTATGCGAGGCCCTTCTTATGCGACCATGAGGATTCATGGCTGGTCAACAAGAACAATCAGTTCTTTCTGGCCTTTGCATTGACTACTGAAAGTGTCCTCTTGTCCTGGCTGCTCGGAGCTCAGCATCAAAGGCGCAAAAAAAACAAAGGGGACACTCAAGAATCAGGAAACAGGGGGAAAAAGAACTTGGAATGTGGTTTCCTTCGTTTTTGTTGAGGATACTTGTTTCCATCTTGTTCGGTTGTTGGTCTCCCTCAGAGACCATCGGTCGACGAATTGGTGCTACGGCTTGGGAAAGCGATTGGAACAAGTTATCCCACCACAAAGGGCCGGGGCGGGGTGTTTTTCACTTTCTTTCCGGTGCCACTTGAGACAGTGCCCGAAGGTGAGCTCCTCTGCAGATGGGAAAAGGGTTAATTACATGAGACATACTGGCTGAATCTGTTCAAGAAACGCTTTAATGACGGTGGCTGAAACTGACCCGAAACCATCTCTTTTGTGTCCTGCTTTGGACTCCATTTTTTCAGAGGTCACCATTTTGGTGGATGCACTTCTTGCTTCCAAATGTTTACAGCAAAATGATTGATTCCAGACAAGAGTTGTGCTTTGAAGCTTGCCTTTTGAAGCAGGCTCTCTTGAAAAGACTGGTCAGTGGTTGTACTTACGTTCTTTCAAACCAGCGTTTTCCGACCCGCCTTCCCACCAGACCCTCGCGCCCTCGCGTTTGCCATGAGCCCTACTCTAGCTGGTCAGTTCGGGTCTGTTTGGCCCGTGAACTGAGGATTTTCGTGATGTTCCAAACTCGATTTCGACTTTTGAGCCCCAACGCCACCGTGTCGGGCTCACGAACCTGGGCATATGTGCCCTGGTTGGACTCACAGGACGATTTCCGTGTCACGGGGTACGATGAAACGTGTCGCTAAAAACCGAAGTTTAACATGGTACGATGTACGTTCGCCTGGCTGGACTATTGAACTATCCTACACCGCAGACAGGGAAGAAGGGATCGACAGGACACCCAGACAGGATGGTCCAGGTGTAAAACTTTCAGAACGTCATTTCTTTGGATATGGACCTGATATGGGAGCTTCTCACATCGTTTTGGTGTCTTGGTGGGCAAAACAAAACCTTGATGCCATTTGCTTAATGCCATCCCCTGTGGGAGCTTGATGCTGATGCTAATGATAATGCTAATGGTACTGGGCATGCCAATGGTAATGCAAATGCTGATGCTAATAGCAATGGTAATGCTAATGCTAATGGGCCATAGTGCTGGTACTGGCTATTCACCCTTGACCTGTGGCAATGCTAATGGCAATGGTGATGATAATGCCATGAGCTTCATGCCATTCACCCTGTGACCTGTGGGAGCTTGATGCCCCACAGGGGGGGGGGGGTCGGCCAAAAAAGATTGGCAAAACATGATGCCACCAAAAAGCAACACCTTCTTTTTTTGGCCGACTCCCCTAGCAATACTACATAATACTACTACTCACGAGCAGACAACCACCACCTACCAACCACTACGAGGTCTCGTCCTCAAAGTCTGAACACCTTCAACATGCAAAGTACTAAAACAAGCGGTTTCGAGAACACTGGAAAAGACACACCCGTAAAACGTCCTTTTCTGTTTCTTTTCGACGTCGGAAAACATGTGCAACTCACCCTTCGCTGGAAGGATAGGGTATGTATCTGATTCCGGAAGCGTGCATGCCAGTTATGCTGCTCCATCGTAATCTTGAAGCTACGAGTAGCTCCTGGCATTACTACTATAAGCTACTAGCAGCTAGAAGCTTCCTTGGGAGGATGGAAGAAATTGCGCACCACCTGGGATGTACCAAATGCTCGTAAATAGTGGGAAATCCTCAATCCCCGAAAATCCGAGACATCGGACCTCGCCGGAGTCCGGGAGACGCAGCCAGGTCATTTGGGCCTTTGGCATCGTACGCGCTTTGTCTGCTGCGCTCTTGTTCTGCGGCTCACGGACTGTGGGCGCGGTTAGCTACTTGCTCGTGGCCGCTTGGAGTACGTCACAGATGCTCAAAGATGCCCAACAAATCGCCGAACCCTCGTGACTCCTGGGGTCTTCATTCACAAAAGTTCCATGCGTGTTATAGTGGAATCACTCGGGGACCCCGTTCTGCGGACCTTTTTGGGTCAAGGCTGACACTGAAGACATCTGAAGACTACTTCACGAACACACACCTATACGATATTGTATATGATTATAGTATGATATTAATATGTGTATATATATATATTGTTATGTAATGAATTATCGATCTGTATATCATATTTAGATGGCCTCGACCAAAGGGGTTCTCCTTATCTTAGATGCCTTTGAAACACCGTCATGATCGTGGCAGCTTAGATCGGCACGATCTCTTGAGGCTATGGCCTTCATCATGGTATGGGTGCCTTATAGCATCATGGTTTGCAGGACTGTCACCGGAAAAGCAGCACCGTGCCCCAGAAATTCCAGGATCAGCGCTGTAATGTAGGCTGTTGATTGACTCTATTTAAAGAATGTATAAACAACAGGTTTAAAAAAACACATGACATTTGGAGATGTAACATGTGTTTTGGTCGTCAACATGACAAATTAACTTCAGTTCGACACTCAGAACAGATCAGTGGGCCTTTTGCGATTCACTTTGAGGCAGTAAGTAGCACAGTAGCACAGTCCAGGCCCTGGGTCCAAAGTACACCACCATCGACCATCGCAGCGCCAATATACAAAAGAATTGGGAGGCAGGTGAGGCAGGAGGCATCATTTTTGTGTGATCCTATTCATTGACACTGCCAGTTTCGAAAGGGTTTCGCTCTATTCTATCCCACTATTGCGAAAGCCAGCTGACAGGCTAGGCTGAACTATTTTCTGCTTTCAGCAGTGAAAAAATAGGGTACCAAATTCATCATAATGTCATAGCCTGGTGGTGTCAATAGTGTTCAGGTGGAGGCTAGTTTTAGATTGTTGGTGATGCAGAAGATGCAAGCCAAAATTGGTAGCATCACTTGCTTCACCAAGTTGTATGCCCACAAGCTCAAGATGCCAAAACGAAACCTTTGCAAGATGTTCTTCTCAACTATGTCCAAAAGTGCAGGAAGCACACGATTCATTGCAACATCCATGAAATCAGAGCACGCCAAAGACCACCACCAAGTCCAAAGTGGTGCACCTGCCACGAAAAGTGAGCACCAAAATCGAACATGCGCAACGAGAGTGCAGTCAAGGCCGCCGTCGCCCAAGAGCACGGCGATCAGACCCAGCCTTTGGAATCACACGGGCTCTTCAGCACAGGACCTTGGCCCAGGGCGTCCAGGTGCTTTGGCAAGAAAGCCTTGAGGTGACCGGTTTGCCGTCCTTACAAGCTCAGTGAGCCGCCCGAGTCTTGCGGACGGAGCTTTGGATGATGGCCGTTGTGGGTGTCACGGAGTCACTCCCATGGCGGCTGGGCCCCGACATGGGTGCCGTTTTTGGTGTTTCTGGTGGAGAAAGTACTTTACATTCACATATTGACATATTTTGATATATTTTGAGTGTATATGTTTTCCTTTGATAATGGTACCATACTGGTGATAGAAGAGAAATGAATGGAATGTGTATTGCAGTGTTTATTTAATGGTGTTTGGAGGTCATAACTCTAATGTCAAATCACCAGAATTTCCGAGGTTTGTAATCATCTACATCAAGATGCTTGTGCTTTTCGCTCCAGAGCAAAAGGACTTGATCAAATCTGGCTATCCAGACCTAATGGCGCCTGCCCGTCATATTGGCGCGGCAGTGGATGCCATAGCACTGGCGCTCTTGTCGGGAATTCTTTGGCAGGGGAGTCCACCAGAGGAGGAGGTCGAGGAAATCCAAGTCAGGGCCCAATCCTTTGGTCGAAAAAACGCTCGACCAGAGCCAGGATCCATTGTATCATGTGAAGGTGGAAGAGCTGGCACACCGAGGAGTTCGTTTGGACGCCGGGTGCTGAAGAATGGTGAGGTGGGTGTTTACTTTCGTGTACAGTAGTTGTTTCTCCCATCTTCTCCCCAGTTTAGGGTGTTTTACAACCAATTTGTTCAGACTTCCTGAGAGTCTAAGGAATTGTGTTTTCATTTTAGCCGGGCAGTTAGGTCGTAGACTGAGCCTTGTTGATTTGGTTCCAAGATATTTTGAACTTTAACCTTGACTCGAAGCAAATCCAAGGACTCTTTGCTGGAATTCTGGGAAGAGCTTTTGGCCGGCGTACTGATGCCAAGCTTTGATGCTGAACGGTCGCTGACCAATGACGTGGTCCGTGGGGCCATTATCCCCAGATCGCGTGTCGGAACAGGTGGGAAAGCCTTAGTATCTATTTGGGAAAAGTCCGCCATGCCACAGAATATGGTCACACACAACTGGACCAACAGATTTGCTTGCCTCGTGGGAGGCATAGTGGCAGATGCTTTGAATGAGGACAAGTACCAAACAATTGCTGAGCAATTGAGTAGCGAAGAAGGGGTTGAGCTCTTGAAGCAACGGTTGGTTGAATGTGAAAAGATGGATGCAACATACTGGGTGTGTGCCTTTTCTGTGAACCAACATGCAAGTATTTGTGGCGGATACGGTCCAACGCCACCCAAGAATGCACCTGAATGGGAAGCATGGAACAAAAAAAAGATATGATTCTGTGAGTTTGCAGAAGTTTAGTCTTTGCTATTGCTTAGAGCCTAAGATTCTGAACCATTCCAACCCTGCATGTGAGCTGAACAAGTTCGACGATATGATGCGATTTCTACACGAACGAGTGGCCATGTTTGGACAGGTCCTTGTAGTTGATGAGCAATTTGAAGTGCTCTACCGGGCCTGGTGCGTAGCTGAAGTCATGGAGGCAAACTTCTTGGACATTCCAACAAGAGTCAAAGTCCTTTCGCAGGATGCAGTGGATTGCAACTATGATCGGCTCTCAACGCTGGACGTGAGGGACTGTTCCGCTTCCTCCGCTGGTGACAAAGACTTGATCTTGCAGAAGATTTCAGATGTGGACGCCTTCAACTTGAAGCTGCAACAGTCACCAAGCCTTACAGAGTTAAATTGGTGTTCTCTTTGAATTCTTTAGACCTTGTTTCTAACTCAGAATCCAGCTGTTCCGTACTCTGGTTTGTAGATCACAAAAGCTTGCCACTGGTGATTGATGCTTTTCCAAGGGGTGAACTGCTGGCTCAACCGTTCGCTTCAGAGATGGAATTCCTTCTCCAAGACTTCTCACATCCTCGTCACCAACTGTCCAGTTCCAACACCTTCCGTGACGCATCAGATATCAGAACTCTAGGAACATACAACAAGAATCAAAAAAAACACCTTTGGCCAAAAGGACCAGCCAGACTAATTAGTGGAGTTTGACTTTTCGCTCAAACAGGTTGGTCTTCGGTGCTGAAGGCCTTTTCTCCAGCTGGGTGGATGGTCGAGAACGCTCGAGGGCAGTCGGACGGATCTGGCGCCGGACTATGTCCTGCTTACCACGGGAAGAGCGCTCACAGCGTCTTTCTCAGAGCGGATGCGATTGGAGTTGCAGCCTGGCACAGGTCTTGTTACGTCAGCCTCTGGGGCCTTCCGCTTTTGATTCTTTTTTGTTGCAAGGCAGCCACTGGAGCTTCCTGTTGTTCTGCGCAATCCACTGGAGGTTTGGCCAGTTTCGTTATGGGAACCCCAAATTGGAAACCTTGGAGATATAAGAAATGACGGCAATTAGAATAATTTGTGAATGATTTTGCGTGATGCCCTCAAAGCCAAGGCTGTCTCCCTGAAATTGAGCCTGATGATGAGGATGATTCTTCTGACTCGGACAGCGAGAAGTGAGCAGTGATAAAGAAGCTATCCGCCGTTGTCCGGAAACCACGACATGATCCGGAAGAAGAAAACAAACATGCTTTGCCCCATGGAAAGCGACATGGAAAGGACATGAATCCATCGCGTTTTGCCCCACACATCCAGCTTCGATGGAGAGCTTTCTGCCTTCGCCGCTCGACCGAGGCGTTGAATGCCGCCGCGGCTCGGGCCCCGAGCCGAAACTCGGGAGCGAACTGGGATCGGATCCCTGGTGCTGGGAAGCAGGGACATGTGGTGCTGGGGTTCACTATAGGAGTATATAGCTGGTGTATCAGAATATGGTAGGATTTCCACAGGACATGCCCGGATTTTGTGCACTTGACCCTCAAGCTCCCTCAAGATATAGTTAGACAAGAAAATGACTCATTTCAGGGTTCCAGCGAAGCTTTGAGGATGTACTACATTCTACTTCAATCTGGGGGTAGCAGCACTATCAACATGATGTATCTGTGAAACCCATGGTTGCTTTCCAGCAAGTCATGTCTAGAGTCTAGACAAGTGTTTCAACAAGCGAATCCCAGAATTGATGTTTAGGAACCTTTGCAGGTCTCAGGTTGGCTAGAGTTTGCACACCAAAGCGATACCGTAGGATCTTGATTTTTACGGATCCGGACTCGACTCGACCGGAGTTTGCACACCAACTCTCCAAAGGACCCATGAGAATCGCACTCTAAAACGTCCATTTGTGACGCCGAGGCTCGTGCTGTTGCTGCTGGAAGCCTTCCGCTGGCACGATGGGCCGCTTGGAGGGTGAAGACATGGGGTGTCAGGCCATCGCCGCTAGTGGCATACTCCTTGTTTCGTGCACTTGCAAAGCAGCTTGGATTCGAGCAAAAGGAAAGAGGGCTACTTCTAGGATCTTTTAGCTTGTTGAACTGAGAGAAATCGCTCCCACCTGGGGGACGACACCGATCCAGATGTGTGTGTGTGTGTGTGTGTGGTTTGATCAATGGCCATACGCACTGCAAGCTCCGTGCAGAATCTGCTTGGGGCTCTAAAAACATCACGTGGGCGTCATCTCTTGGTTTTCATCGAGCGAGAGAGAGAGAGAGAGCATGACGCCCAGCTTCCAAGGGTTGCTGATTTGCCACGGCTTGGTGTCATGAAGATCTTTGTCTTGCGATGATGGGCGTGGCGGCTTTTTCCATGGTCCATCCTCCAAACTGGTGATTCATGGCTACGGGTGGTTGTATTGATGGAGATCCCCACTTCTCCAACCGCTTCAGGAAAAGACGAATAAAACAAAAAGACGGACGTCTCTTCTCTTCTTCGCCCCAGATCCGAGAGTTGCAGCTTTGAGTGTTGGGCTTTGGTCCAAGAAAAACAAATATGGAACGATGACACTCCCCTCCTCTCCTGGCATCGCATCCCTCTCCTGTTGGAGCGGCGAAAAAAGGTGGATAGGCCCATGAAAACATGGAAAACCAGGATCATGCCAGAGCTAGTGGTTAATATCGCCGTCACGCACAAAAACAGGGTATGGAGGCTCTACCTCCTTTTTGTACAGTACCTTAAGGGCTTTTGGCTTGCATGCTACATACTGATTAGTGGTAGCTGCGATTGGATATATTTAGTATACTGTTGTCACTGTTGTCGTTGTGTTTTTCTCTTCGTAGCATTGCGGTCCAGTGGCGCCATGTGAGGCTCTAGATCTCTTGGAGGAAGAGGCCACTGGGCGACACACCGGCAGGGCCGGCATTGTGAGGTGGTTCACCGAGTCCACTGCGATCGCCAGTCATCCACGAGCAGAGGGGTGCTTCGGGTCCGAGACCGGGCCTGCCGGGGTGCAGCGTTCCGAGGTCCGAGTTCGATCTCCCCCCCACTCGCTACGAACGGGGCTCCCGGCCTTACTACTTAGGAAGGAGCAATCGGACGCACTGGATGCGACCGGAAGGACCGACTCGGGAGAACCCAGCCCTTGACGCCGTCCTGTGCTGCTTGGCCACATGGAAGGTGATGCGTTCTGAAACCACTCAATCAACGGGTTGAACTCATAAACCCTGGAACTGTTTGTGTGACGCTTGTCAGTACAAGCTTGGTTCGCACCAGCTAGCAGCACATCAAATTGAGAAAAGCCATGGTTGAGTCAATGTGTCAAGCAGCTGTCACGTTTGCTTTTTCGGTTTGTCTATGGCCCAGCCAGGGCGAGAGCGATGCCATCTCCAACCTCCTGCGTCCAAAGGCAGTGAGCAAGCAGGAAGACTTCCATCAACGAGCAAAGAGGCCAATCAAAATAACTGTTGGTCAAATGCGAATTCCATTGACTTCCTTGACTTCTTGCGGTCTGTGTTTTCTCTTCAGCCATGTGGACCATGATTCACGGGCATGTGCCCACCGCATCCCTTTGAACCCGGCTTCGGCTTCGATGTGCAAGGTGGGCCTCGGCCTCCTTCGCCATCTTCGCGCATCGAGCCGTGGGGAGTCGGGAGGCCGAGCGCCGGTCGCTTCGCCAAGATCCGCGAACGGGAGGGGGGGTGGTCTCTCCACAGAATTTTGCGCACATGGTCGTGTACCCTCAACTCAAGTCCTGCTTTGGGTTGCCGGTTTCTGACATGTTTCACTAAGAAGAAACCTGCAGGACTGCTTCCGGGCTGCGCACGAGCTTTCAGACGTCAAATTTTGGACGAAGGCCTTTTGAGAGCTCATCTTGCAAGGTGACCTAAGTTTCATCCTTTCAGCTTATGAGGTTCATCATAAGTTTCATCCTTTCATTCTCCAAATCATGCGTTTGTCTTAAACACATTGACATGTTTTGGCCACTACCATGATCTTCGAGTGCTCCTTTGACCCTCCGATCCTCTCCCATTGAGAACCTCATCCTCCTTCCCAAGGGCGGTCCACAACAGCACCTCGCCAAGGTACAGCCAAGAGCTTTCATTGGCCGGGAAGCTGAGACCTATCACCGGGTAAAGGGTGCATGTCAAACAACCTCCCTATGCGATGCCTGAAGGCGAAGGGGCAACCAGCCATGTGTCCCGCAGGCCACGTGAGTTGAGACACGGGGTTGAGACATAGATAGATCATGACATCATGATAGATCTAATCTATACCTACTGCCAACATAGATAAGGGTTGTTTGTTTGTACTCGCATGTTGATTCTGGCATAGATAGAATAGAACAGTGACATCTCCTCCAAGGAAATGTATGTTTACCGTTCGTATCAAGTTACTCCCCTGCAATCACCACTTTGGAGCTGACCAGTTCGAAGACGCATGAAAAAGCCGTTGAAACCTGTGGGTCAAGAACCTAGGACCTAGAACCCCTCACATCATGAGAATCTTGACATCTCCAGCGCAGTCGATTCATCATCAAAGTTTATCTGGTCCCAGGGTTGTGTCCTTGCAATCGCCACATTCAACGGTGTCTTTGGAAACCCATCACTCTCCTGCTTCTGGCCAGTCCTTTCGTGCCGTCCGCACCCCACCGTTCGCGGTGCTGCCTATGCGTTTGTCATGCTTTACACACACTATGCAGCATCAGATGCAGGGCACAGGGCCAAGCCGACCTCCCAAAACCGCCGACCCCGACCAAGCACCAAACCCATCTTTGCCAGCATCTTGTCTCACCACGTTTGCTTCCGTGCTTGAGCAACGAACCACTTCGGCGAACCTGTCCTTCCCTTCATGAGGATGGCGGATGTGTGTATTTGCATGCATTTACCAATACGTGAACATACCGATCCTGACAGAGATGTACTGAACTTGGAGGAAGCAGCATAATCCCAGGTTCTGGACTCTCAATGACTCAAGGAATCGAATGAGCGGAGCAAAGTATGGTCCAAAATCTGTACAGAAGCAAGCCGTTGACTCTTCAGTTCTGGGAGCCTCCAACCAGCCCGAGGGGGGTTGGACATGGTTGGATCGGCCTCACTCGAAGTTCGAAGGTCTTAAGACTCTGCCAAGAGCCAAGGGCGAGACTGAGCGAGGCGTGGGCGTTGGTCGTCTCCGAAGACTTGTATACGGTATGTATACAGTAGGACTCTGTAGGACCAATTGAGATAAAGTTATGATCATTGGCTAGACATTGGGGAGACAGTGGTACTGTAGACCTTCGGTGTAGAGGAATCGAGGAATCGATGTTGAGCAGCTCCATTTTTGTTTGTGAACTGCCGAGAAACACAAAGAATGCAATGATTAGGAATTAGGTGCTGCGGCTACCGACTGATGTCTATGGCAAGCGCAAGAGCAAAGAACGACCAAGAAAAAGGGTAAAAGATAGGA